TTTTTATACTTAGTTGTTATTAACTGTATTATTTTGGTATGGCATGCTACAGCATTACAGTGTTAATTTTTGTGAAACTGTGAAGTTTCTGTGAAACTGCATGTTGCTCTCTTGTACAGCTACGGCAGCTAATACTTCTGCTTTCCAAAGCCTCTTAAAGTGTTTTATTGGATGATGTCCACATACATTAAGTTAGTCTTCTAGATGGATTTCAGGCAGTTTAAACTTTGCAGATTCTACTTCATTATTTTCAAATTTGATTTATTCTGTCTGTGAAAATTTTGCATGTTTTTGATTGCTGAAATACATCAATGAAGGTTGGGAGGAGTTTCTGCTGCTTCAGTCTTAATATATTTTGACATCTTATTTAGAGCTGAATGGTTTATCACTGCCTTGTATGAAATCTTCCAGACACTTACTATTTAACATCCTGAAAAATAGATTTTGGAACCTGTTTTGACTCCCTGAGAAGAAAAGAACAACTGTTCAGTTCACTGGTGTAGAATCGGTCCCTCAAACCTTCAAAGAGATACTTAACAAGACTCATCTGTGTATGCATTCAAAGTCATTTAATTTAAATTTCGTGACATCTGACTCTGGAAGCTTCTACACATCCTGGGCTTCTTTTAAGTTGTTGAGCATGTTTAGTACTAGTTAGGATTAGACCCAATTTTTCTGTGGCTCTAAGGGCTCTGCGGAGCTGGCTGTCAAGTTGTTGAGTGGCGTTTAAAAGTGTACAAGTGCTGTCTGGTGTTCCAGATTGAAGATAAGGAACATCTGTTGTGGGTTGGGAATAATACCTACTCTGTCCTAGGGTTCATTAATTTCAGGGGAATTACAGACCGATGACAGGATGATATTTTCTGTAGAAGTGCTCAGGAATTAGGCATGGCCTTAAGTACAGGGTGTTGCAGAGCTGTGCCATGTAAGATTTGTGGTGCTACAAGACTATTAAGTTAAACATCTTGTAAAATAGAATACAAAGAACTGTGTTTTTTGAAGTTATTTTACAATATTTTAAAAATACTTTTCTGTCAACATTTTTTCTCTTCCTTTTCTTGAACAGTTTGGCCTTGCACTTGTCGTCTCCGCTCGTTTTTATGCTAGATTACTCATGATATTTTGTGTTTTCTGTGTCTAAAGTTTAAAAAAAAAAAAGACATTCTAATGTGTACTTACAAAAATTTGGCATTAGATGGCACGATACTAATAACCATAAAGTCCACATCTTTACTTCTTGTGGCTTGGCATCAGACAGGAAAGACAACGGCAAAATGTCTGTATTACCTGTGTCGCAGCGGGAAGCCTCCCGTGCTAAGCCCGGCTGCGTGGCTCACCGGCGGGGAGGAGAGGGCCACGCTCCCTGGCGGCTCCTTGTCTCCTGCCCGGCGTGACCCAGCCGCCGCTCTGTCTTGCAGTGTGGTGGCGGGACGCCTCGCCATGCAATGGAGGATAGCTGCATTTTGGTCACCTCATGGGTGCTATTTCCAGTCGGTTAAGGAGGAGAGCGCCGGGAGGGGAGGAGAGCAGGGAGCAGCCCAGCCAGCTTGCTGCCAGCGGGGCCCGGCCCACAAGTGAGGCTCCTCTGTTGATAGGGAGAAGTATTTTCAAAGACAATCTTCTTGACTTTCACCAGCAATTGGCAGAAATTGTCTCAAGAAGTGGTTATCCTACTGAAAACAGAATAATAATTAAAATAGCAAAACTATTGGTTCGATCACCGTTGGTGATGGTGTCTAGTTTTCCTATCCTAAGAAATACTTGAGTAAAAGCCGAGTGTAGGCGTGCACTCATTTAATAATGATTTTCCCGTTAGCTGTGTGCAACTCTTCTAAAACTTGCGGAGAAACCTATTTGGCATATCATAAATACTGTAAAAATGAGATCTGTCGCTTTAGTTGCATGCGATTACCTACCTCGATAACATTTTCTTATTCTTGCTGTGAATTCCAGTGCTTTTTTTGTCCCTTAGATATGGTAGAATTGTACGTTCCCAATCTAAATTGACAAGTATATGAATTAGCCTACCCAACCCCCACAGCTTCATGGCTGTTTTGCTGGTTTTGGCTGGGACTGTGCACCAGGCTGAGGTGGTGCCAGTGCTGCGTGGCAGGAGCTCCGAGGGGTCCCGCCTGTGCTGCTGCGCGCCTGCTGTATGGAAACCCGTGAACCGGAGGGGACAGACAGGTTTCACCTATCCGCCTCATCCGTGGTGGCCCGGTGCAGACCGGCCCTCTGAACCGTGGCATTTGTACCTGGGCACAGGAATGGTGGAGCCTGCCATTTCAGAGTGCTCCAGGCACCATCCTGGGGTGTCTGTTGGTTGGCAGTGGATGACAGAGGAGCGTTAAACTCTGCAGTTAAAATGCAGTGACAATTAAATTCTGTGAAGAATCACTATTGCAAGAGAAGGACATTTCTTGTTTGTTTTTGTCATTGTGACTGGTATTGTTTGCCTTTTCTATTTTTAAATTTCTTCCTAAGCTTTAAAAAATGTTCCGTTTTAATATACAAAGCAAAGTTCCTAAGGCGTCCTAGAATAGGTAGGCAAGCAGTTTCAGTAGGGTGGGAGAGAGGGAAACAAGGCGGTAAAACTTACACAAACATCTCTGTAGGGTTTTCCTTTTTATCAGTTTACATGTGAAATTTGAATAATGGTTGGACTTTCTATTTTTTCCTGGTATTCTGCCACTGCTTTTTTCCGTTAATTATCTCATTTCCCCCCCCCCCCCTTGTTTTCTATGATCTGATCATCCAACTTGCTCCACAGATCATAATGAATAATCGGGTCTTTTGGCTTTGTGTTTCATGGCACAGGTTACGTACAATGAAAGGTTTTTCTCTCAATATCAGGTTTTGAGTACAGGAATACTTGGAACAGTGACTGGAGCTACAGCTGAAGAGCAGATAAACTGTTTTCCCTTATTGTGAGACTTCTGCTTTAGTTATTCATTCAAAGATTTACACCAGTCAAGATCCCATTGGGGGATTACCCGAACTGGTTGGAATGGCCTGAGTTCTAATGAATAACGTGTACTTTGTAAGGCTTGAGCAGATAGTGTTGTAGACATGGAAGTGATGAAAAAGGTTTAGTGAAGTGATAGAGATCTTGAAATGATGAGTCAGCAAGATGGAATGAAGGGGAACTTTTTATTTAATGGGAATGGGTGCGAGTCAAGGATTCTCTAATCTCATTTCTAATAATCTTCAGCAGAGAAACTTGTACTTAAATTTTATTACAAGAGAAGTTTTGTTTAGTAAGCAAGCAACTTGGTTTTTATAAGAAGGACAAATGGTTTCATCCAAAACAAAAATATAGGTAAACTTTAGAGAAGACTTCTCCACCCCAGTCATGTTTTGATGATCTGGTAATGAAGCACTGATAACTGATTTCTTGAATGGCATGAAAACCAGTGCTACGTTTAATATATCTAGGCTGCTTTCTTATTAATATAAAAGTTTGGTGTTTGGATTTGAAGAAGTGGTTTTGGGGGAAATAACTGAAAAATTTAAAACCTAGATGGAGACAACATGGAGACAAAAGTATCTGCAATGTCGGCAAGACATCAATCTGAATGTTATATAGTGTTTAAGCTGAGTATTACTGGAGGAGATACAGGGGTTTGGTTAATTAATTAAGTAAGTAACGTCTTTCCTGTTAGGGCCATCTTAGGTCTTTCCTTGGAAGCTCTAACTAATTGGAATAAAATATGCAGCACTGTAAAAAAGTGCAGGTTTTCGTTTGGCATGTTATAGTTCTCAGCTAGGGCTGAAATCTTACAAAGATAAGTCATACTTGATACAGAGACAATAGTGGTCTAGAATACAATACTATTGTCTGGAGTGTTACAGTCTAGAATATTAGTAGAATATTATGGTCTAGAATACAATTTTACAATTTTTTGTGAATAGTTGTCTTCAAAAGGAGACTTTTCAATGAGTAGTAATACTTTTTAAATGAACAGCATTCTCTCATACTGTTACCACACTATCATATTAAAACAAACTATATGTATTTTATATATGTAAAATCATCTCTAATTCTTTCCATAATCAAGTAGGATCTTAACATGTTGTTTTTGAATCACAACCATTCCTATGATCATGTTGACTGCGGAGTTTTTAACGTGAATTTTTAGCAAACGAATCAGAAGCCTCATTAAAAGTCCCACTCTAGGAGTTAACTGGCCACTTTATGTTCTAAAATGTCAGCTGATTTGCTCTAGAGAGAAAAATGTAGTGTTGGATTTTTCCATTCAGCTAACTCACCTACTAAAATAATAATACTGGAACAGTTGAGTATGGCTGCATGCATCAGGATAGAAAGGAATTTCAATCAGAACAGTGGGAGGGAAAAGTGAAGGGAGCTAATTGTTAACTTGGGAAATTGGAGGAAGCTTATATGGAAAAGTACATTGATAGCGCAACATAATATTGTTAAAATAAGTCCTTTGCCTCATGGTGGAAATATGCAAGTTTTTTAATATTTCCCATTATCTGTTCATACAGTCTGAGTTTGTCCTTGAATAAAAATACATGAAATATACCTGTGGTGTTTTAATTAAAATAAATAGGACAGAACAGGATTTAACATGATTGCGTAGTGAACCTAATGAGTTCAAGATCCAATAGTGCTTTACAGATTTGTTGCTAACTAGTGCCATTAGTTCATAGTTTTATCTATAATGTTTGGCTCTGAGCTTTTAATAAATTAATCAATTAGACTGGGACCACTTGAAACAGTTAAACCTGAAACCTCTAGATTGTTGGTCTCAAATAAATGACCTAAATTAAAAATAATGCTTACATAATCTATAGTACTCCTTATTGGTAATGCAAGCAGTAGGTTTAATTGTGTTCTCTAACTGCTCTTGCTCTTAAGGTCTGTTTGATTTCAGAGGGATTCATTTGTTATTCCATTACAGCACAGTAGCTAAGAGCCTAACTGTAGGGTTTTTTTCTGTAAGAATATACGTTATAACTTTCTATAATATCCACAGGTTTTAGGACCTGCCCCAAAATGGTGTTCCTTCTTGGACAATTTGACTGAAGAACTGGAAGAGAATCCAGAGAGCACAGTTTATGATGATTACAAATTCGTTACCAGAAAAGACCTTGAAAATTTAGGTAAAACAGTTGAATCTCCTCTTTAGCTGACGTTTTTGTTCAGATTTTGATCATTTACACATGTAAGTTTCCTAATTTGGTTGTGATGTATGAGGACTGTTAGAAATTCAGTGGCAGTAGTTTCATCCAGTCTTCTTGGTTATTAATATACCAGACTGATGGCTTTATGTTCTTTGGTTCCCAACCAGTGCAACACTAGATATTTGTGTTTTTCGTTTTTTTTATCCCAAGAAGAAGATTGATATTTGCTGATTTAATGTCTAGGAATCTGTTGTGTGTATTTTCAGACACTAAGTGGAAGGCATTTCAACATATTTTTAAGGTGCTCAAATAGTATGTTGGAACTCACAGCAATATTAGGAAAAGATTCACCTGCTAAAGGCTACCCTAATTGAATGTAGTAATTTCCAGAAAATACAAATCATTCTAGGGCTAATAGAAACAGTTTCAAGGAACTGGAATGCTGAAAATTATATAGCAGAGAAGGTAAGCATGCTTCTTCCAAGGTAGTTAGTCCTTTTTCTGTTATGCGTTTTGATTGCAATGTTTTGCTCCAGTTTAGTTTAATTAATTTACCTCTGAATACGGGAGTTGGGTTTGGCCTGGCAGGAGGCCATACAAGGAGGAGGTCATCCAAAGCACCCGCATCTTCAGCATGAGTGTTCTAGAGTAGATGGTCTGAATGTAGCCCGCAGACCCCTATCCCAGTCGAAAGGGAATAAGGCAATGTAGTATTATCTATACAGAGACTTGACTGGGAATACTTATTCTGCTTTAAATTCGCTATAACTTAGTCAAATTCATTTCCCCATAAATGCAAGCTTTCAAATGAAGAACCAGTTTAAGGGATATTTTGTATTTCATATGTCAGGGTTTCTTTGTATTACTGGCTATTAGCTGGAGTACTCTTATTTTGGAATATGCAGGAAGATTGTTTCCTGGAAACAGTTAAAATTTTTAGAGACAACTTTTGCTTTCTGAGAAGCACAGTGGTTCCTCAATTTTTTTTTTTTTTTTGCCTTTTAGTTCTAGAAGAAGTTTGTTAATTCTTAATTTCTGTAGAGGATATTTTGGTATAAAAAACTTTTCCTTTTCTCAGTCTTGGAATTTTGTGAAGATACATGGAAGGAAAATCAGAGAACTCATAAGTATTTTGAGACTTAGGTTAGGACCTACGGTGACAGTTTTATGACCTGATGTGGTACTGTATTTTTTTTCAACATGTTGATTCTTCAAATATAGTGACCCAAGGCAAAACTCTTTAATTAAAAACATCTCTATACCACACTAAAAAGTAATTGTCAAACATCTATGGACTTTCCAAAAAATCCTCTCAAATTTTTCTTTGTAAACTTTTATGGAGCATCGTGCATGTGGGCATTTTTAAAAAGTGCACTGTAATATGTACTATGACAAGAAAAATGGATTTTGTTGCTCTGAAGAAGCTCATTTCTTGCTGGCCAAACTGATTTTTTTTTTTTTTTTTTTTTTTTTTGCGGTTTTACTTAGTCTTGATGTAATGGATGTGACTGTTAAATTGATGTGTTGCTTTGGCAGTGCTTGTTTGTCTTGAATCGGGTAAGTGAAGTGGCTAGCTTGGAATAAAAGTTCTTTATATATGAAAGCTCTTTGAAATCCTCTAACTTTTTTTCCCAGGCCTTGCTCATCTCATTGGATCATCATTGCTCAGAGCATATATGCATGGCTTTTTCATGGACATAAGACTTTATCATAAGGTAAATAAGGCTGATCCTTGTCAATTTTTGCTCTTAACAATAAAATACATGTGTTGGGGTTTTTTTGTGTTTTTTTGTTTTGTGGGTTTTTTTTTCCCTCTCCAAATAACAGACTGTGTCCTGTATTAATGGTATTTTCTTTTTACTTCCTCCTGCTTGTTCAAAGGCAAAAATGATGGCCAACCCCTTTGCCTATGAAGAATACAGAAGAGAGAAAATAAGGCAGAAGATAGAAGAAACACGTGCACAGAGAGTTCAACTAAAGGTAAATCCTGTAAACAATAAGTATATGGCTGGGAAAATTATTCATAAAGAGTAATATATTCTTAAGTGTATCTCAGAGATGTAATGACTTAGGATTTGATTCTGTTTATCATCAGAGACACAAATTAATTTACAGAACTTTTTGAATGGAACTGTAAAATTCCCATGTGTTTGATTCCCACCGATGAGAAAGACTGATACCAAACTGTAAAAGAGCAGCTCTCATCACATTTGTCATTTGAGCGGATAACCCACTGTTAAAACTTGCAGTTTCTACTTCTGTCATTAAACTAAATGATTTAAGCCATTAAAACATAATACTCTGGAGAGAGATATATAAAAATAGTATTGTGTTTATAACTAGTAGCTTTCTAGATTGAATTTGCTCAACATACAAGGAGGAATACTTGCTTTTAAAGTACTAAAACTGATGCATTGCAAGGAAAAAATGATACAGAAGTTCTGCTTAAATTTTCTCCAAGTACTATTGCTTTACTAGTACCTAGAAATACTTGGAACCAGTCAAGGAGTTTTTCAGCAAGAGTGATAAGAATGAATAAGAATTCTGTCTTTGCCACACTTAGGAATGTAAAGATGTAGGTTTTTGCATGTGTGAAAGAGTAATTTACTGATTGTTTTCCTCTCTTTAGAAACTTCCAAAAGTCAATAAAGAGCTTGCACTTAAACTGATTGAAGAAGAAGGAGAAGAGCAACAGCTTACTAGAAAAAGGAAACAGAAGGTGAGCTTTTGTTTTGGAGACTTCTCTAACTGCGAGCACAGAAATAGTAATGCTTGCAGTATTGATTTTTTTGTTGTTGGTTTTTTTTTTTTTTAATCTGGCCAAACAGATTCAAAATTCCGTAGTTTCTGTTTCTCATAAATAACTTATTCTAGTAGGTGCCTTTAAGGTGGACTTCACTGTAGCTGCAGTACCAAAAAAGCCATGTAGTAACTTAAAGCTTAAAATGATGAAATACTCACTGTGAAGATGATATGGGCTTCATAGGACTCCAGAAGCTAGCTAAATGCAGAGTCAATACCAAAGTTGTTCTAGAAGGACCTGTTGTTTGCATTTGTTGGTATTTTGGTGGTGACCATGACAAGATAGATGTTACCTGTAAAACTGAAGATACAATTGCCTTTCTTTGTGTACATGGTTAACTACATTTTATAAAATAGCCAAAATGGTTCGCTCTTATACAACAGGAATTCTTCCTGATGTTGAAAATAATCCAATTTCTATCCTAAGTGAAGTCTAAAGGAAAAAAATAGTTAATGTTTAATATCTGGTGGCTGGGGGGGGCGCGCTTTCTATAGGTAGCACTTCATAGGTGCTCATTCTCACAGGAATATAGCATTCATAAAAGGCAGGCATTAGCTTCATGTGGCATCTAATGAAATCCTGTGTGTTACAGTTAGTGGGAAGCATGCACTACTAAAAAGTAGGTGGTGGTAAAACCTTAAATGCAGACTGTCTAAGCCAGTGTTACAATGGAAATACGAGTTCAATAAACGGGGGCTGATTTGTCTAGGAGTACATATAGATTGTGTTAAGTGGACTAAAAAGAGTATACATAAAAAGGCATGTCCTGGTTATTTTCCTGAAATGGCATTAGGGTCTTGTGAAGAGCAATTTATTTTAGGCTTTGGGATTTCATTTTTGGTTGTGTGACTGCAAGTCACATATTTGCAACAGGTTTTGTGTTTGAAATTTACACTTCTTGTTTCCTGTATCTTTTTTTTTCTTTTCGACTTCTTAGGTAACAATGAAAATTTAATGCTGGGGTGGGATGAATGTACTGGTATAATTTTGGCAATGTTGAAAGATCAGCTTTTTGTAATAAAAAGCTATTTATTCAGTGATTTTAAAATGATGACAACAGGTATTTACGTAAGCTGAAATTGTAGCTTGAACTGTTCCTAATTTAACAGTAGCATAATTTACACTGAATTCATTTTACTTTGACATGAATGAAACTGCCTTTTCCATTCTGTATGAAAGGGGAATGAAGAAAAAGTGTTTATAAGATGTATAGAAACACTTACTCTTATGTATTTACAGTAAAACAGTAGTAGCATTGCATAAAGACATGTTTACCCTGATAATTTGTTGTACATGTTGTAGAATCATCCCCGTCAGGCAGGGTATTTGCCTTGGAGGTACTGCTGATTAGTCAATAGATACCAACACGTCTCCAGACAAGCTGGCTGAGTGTATGAGAAACATTAATTCAAAAATACTAGTAATTGTATATTTAAGGTGTCTATAGTGTGCATAAAAAAAACCTGTCTTGCTTACAGGTAGCTTAGAATGATATTTATTTGATCTTTATGAAAGTAATAAAATATAATAAGCATAAATCTTGATTTTTTTTATATCACCTGGAAGGATAAAGCAACTGGCATTTCACATGCTGGTTTTGAGTTTTGTTTAATTAAAAAGGTGTTACTTACTTTACCAATGTCTGTTTCAGAATTTTATAACTCACTCATGCTTTGCTTCTTTTCCAGAATCTGCCTAACCTTCTCAAAGATGATCGTTTTAAGGTCATGTTTGAGAATCCAGATTTCCAGGTGGATGAGCAGAGTGAAGAATTTAGGCTACTTAACCCCCTTGTTTCTAAAATAAGTGAGAAAAGAAAGAGGAAACTAAAGATCTTAGAGGAACTGGAAGCACAAGAACAGGTAAAATATTTTCCATTTGGATTAGGAAAAATCCATAGGGTTTGGTTTTTTTCCTTTGTTTCAAGCATTCAGATTTTTCACCCTAGAAAGAAGGAAAGACGGAGGCAGTGCAAGAATGTCTTACCAGCTACAGTAATTGAGTGTAATTTGCAATGTTATCCTAGTTTTTAGATGTGAACAATATTGTGTCTGCATGAATATAGGTTTGAAAAACATAAATTATGTAGGTGGAAACAATTTTATAATGTATCTTCTGCTTCACTTGCTGTTCTGCTTTTGTTCAAATTTTAGTTCTCTTCAACTGTATCTATGTAAAAGCTGTCACGTACTCTAATTGCAGGAATGGTTTGAAAAGAAAATTAGTGGATGATTTCTTATTTTATACTATTTTTGTCTGCAGGAAGAGGAGGAAGAACCAGAAGGAAAAGCAAGTGATGCAGAAAGTTCTGAGAGTTCAGATGATGAAAAAGGCTGGGTTGAAGAGGTCAGGAAACAGCGCAAGCTTCTACGCCAAGAGGAAAAAGTAAAGCGGCAGGAAAGGTTCAAGGAGGATCAGCAAACATTACTGAAACCTCAGTTTTTTGAGATTAAAGAAGGAGAGGAATTCAGAAGCTTCAAAGACTCTGCCAAAAAACAAAAATTAATGAAGTAAGACTAATGTTCCTATTTTAAAAGCTGGGGGTGGATGATTCTCAAGTATTTCTCTACAATGCAGGCCAGTGGCATTTTGGCTTGGAAGCACTTACTAGTAAAGCCACATCTGGCGATTCAGGGATATAACTTGAAGCGACATAGTTGTTGAAAGCTTTTGTTTTGTAGTTAAACGAATATAATGTTTAAAGTATGGCAGAGAGACAGCACAAATGAGATGAATAAGAGATTAATATTCTGAGCCAGATTTGGGGATCCATTACTCAATGTTGGTGAACTGCTGCTCTCACAAATAACAACGCTGATGTCTGTGAGACCCGTTATATTTCTCCACCACTGTCAATATGAGGTTGACAGTCTGGATGTTTTTCATCTGACCCTCTAAAAGGATGTAGAGTACTGCATGACTAGTCACTATTTTGGGGGTAGGATCAAGGTGTTAAAAGAAAAATTGTTTTGTCTGGGTGTTTTTATGGTGTCCAGAAACTTTCAAAAAATTGTGCTGTCCTTATATTGTCAGGTCTCACTATTTTTGTTTTTCTTTTTGCAATATAAAAACAAACTTTTTTTTAATTTGGATTTCCTTAAATTGATGATCAACTGAAGTAATTGGTACTGTTTAAAGAGCATGTCAAACTAAAGGACTTGGCTTTGAGGTGCTTAATGCCTGCAAATTTCATTGATTTCCCCCCCCCCGAGGTTAGTTGAGCCCTTCAGAAGATGAGATTTAATAGCCTTTTATTATATGGAGCTCAGACACTAATATTAAAACCTTGAAAGACAATAGCTTCAAAGTTCTTGCAGCACACTGGATGCAGAGCAGAATTTTGACTAATGTTGGAAACAAGTTGCTGGGCTAGGTGGATCTCATAATAGCCATTATGTTTTTACTTAGAATGAAATGATACATTCAAAGAAAAGGAAGTGAATAATATATATATATATAATGCGGCTGTTTCTTTATGTCACTAATGACTGACTCTACAACCTAGTTGTTTCATGATGGAAATTTTCTGGAGATATGTAAAGAAACATTTGATAAAAATTCAGCCTGTCCTCTATGTGCAAGTTTTTAACTGGAATTATCATGTAAAATGGTCTTTAAGTATTACTGAGACAGTGTTTCTACAGTAGTCTAGTAGTCTATGATTTCCATGTTGTACCTGTAAGACCCCTTTAAATAGAAGTAGTAGTTTTTATAAATTGGGATTTATAGCAGTTCTGCAGAACTGATTCCAATGTTTTCCTTAGCTGTTTTTTATCAGCAAGTGTTTTCACACAGGGATTTTTTGTTCTTTATATTGAATATACCCACTCATTCTGGACTCTTAACTTTCTTAGATTTTTCCATCAACTTTCTTCTGATTATTTTTCTTTCTTTCTTCTGGAAGGTGAAGCAACTTTTTACTTTTGTCAGTTTTTCTTCTTTGTCAGGAGAAAATCCACTCTGGACACTCTGACAGCATATTGTAGGTTAAGGATTTTTTTTTTACATTGTACTTGGATTTATGGTCATGTTAGCAAGTGACCTGAAAGGAGCCTGAGACAGTGGTCAAATGGCACTGTATTCTCATTGCCATTGAAATACTTCCCTAAAAGGCAGTATGGTTGCAGTCTACTCACATACTGTTCTCTTACACAAATTCAGCTGCTGACCTCTAAAGGAAATTCTCAAGGACACTCAATTTGAAGTATTAAGATTTCATTTTGTTCAAAATATGGAAGGCTTAAATGTGAACAAGGATACTGATAAGCCAGGACAGGTGTAAAAAAGAGAAACGTTTAGAAAAAATTAGTACAATGTGACACAGGACAAACTAAATTCTTTCATCAGATGTATGGAGGGAGAAAAATCATTGCTTCAGCTCAGGAAAAACAAAAGCAAATACCACAGACCTGTCCAGTGGATGGAGGAATATCAGTGATGACATAAACCGTGGAAAGGCTTTTAAAAGACTGCTTTTAGGGAAAAGAAAATCTATCTTGAGATTCAGTGCTAATTCTCTGCATAATATTTTGTAAGGTGCGATGCATAATTAGGGTGGCTTAGGTAGCATACCCTCTCTGTGGTAGGTGCACAGATAGGATGTAATATGAAATGTTTAAAACAAAAAAAAAAGAGAAAATTGGGGCTAGAATAGGATGACAAAAAGAATGGAAGTGTCAGCATTACATCCTTTATGTTTTTCTGCGTTGCTGTCATTGAATTGTTGTTCCATGATTCTTTTTATTTTTGTCTAAGCAATTAGCTCTATACTCACTGATCCCATTTGTGCTCATCCAAGCGTTGTTCTTAGTATGGAGTTTGATATTCCTCAAATTCTTAGAAGAGACTTAAAAATTAACAGCTGGTATCTGTTTCTTGCAATTTATAGCTGATACGATTCTGTAATCATAATGACTTAGTCTGTGTTGTGAGCTAACTTGTTTGGTTAGAAAGCATTTTTACATATTAGAATTTTATGAAGAAAATTCTTAAATATGTTTTCTGCTGGCCTTATTCAGTGATAAGTAGTCAGCATAAAAATAATTAATTCAAGTAACGTACTGAAAATTGGAAAGACTGTAGTGGCATGTACAATCTGGTGAGGCTGGCATGTTTGTCTTTGATTTGGTTTATCCAAGTTATGGAATGATGGTCTGTGACCAATATAATTAAGTACCTTAATACCTTCACTATGCACTTAATGGCTAGGTGTTCTTTTTTTCTCTAATCGTATAATGTTCTACCTGAGGAAACAGTTTATGACTTATATAAAACTGGGTGTTTCTTTCGACATGTTCCTGACTCAGCATGGCTCCAAGCCCAACTTCTAAAGCAGTGGTGTGTACTATAAATTTCTTCGTAGACCAGCAGTCTACGCATTTCTTTGCACAGGAAAGCTGCAAAATTTACTCATGGTTGTAACAAATGCCTTGTCTCAAATCTGTCTACATTTCATTTTCCCTTTTTGCACTCTTACAGAAGAAAACCTGCAAATCTTTGCTTTGTTTACTTACTGCGTAAGTTCCTTACATAGTAACTTAAAAGGAATCCATAAAAGGAAAGAGTTTTTATCAGTATGCTAAGAGCTCTTTTGATTTTCTTGATGTCCCTTTAAAAGGTTTGTTATTGCAGTTAGAGCATGTCAAAATTAAAAACTACAGTATTCATACTTTATAAAGTATGACAGTCAATGTATATGTCTTCAGAGGTGGCCAAGAAAGTCAACAAAAGCCAACAAAAGCATAGCTGACATTCCTAGGTATTGCTAAAGTAAAACAGCAGGAAAAGTCCTGAAAAACTGTTCTCTTTACAATGAGGAAAAAAAGAAGTGCCTGGGCATTTTTGTTTGTTTGTTTGTTTTTTACTGTAGGGCAGGGGAAGTTGCTTTTAATAACACTGTTAATGTATCCCTTCAATCAATTTGTTGAGGATGATTTTTAAAAAAAAAAACAAACAACCCAGCTGTTGTGTCTGTGTATCAGTGTGTGCGATTCGCTATCATTTGAGGTCTGCACGTTTTCAGATAAATATAGTTGTACCTGCAATTCAGAAAAATTGCAACCCCACAGCGTTTTGCTAATATCTCCTCATTTTACTTTTTCTCCTGACAGAAGCAGTATCTAGGCAGTCATGCTAAATAATTGCTGGGTAGTAGCCATATTTCTCCAGTTCACTTTCAAAGGGGAGAAAAATGGGACTTCCCTTGAATGTAGAAATCCCACCACAATGTTGGTGACTGATCTCCTGCCATAGTTAGCTCTAAGGCTTAGCTTGTCTTCTCGATTCGCACAGATGGAACAAGTTTTTACATGTACTTAGTGAAAAATATACTACAGAAAAAAATACAATCAAAGTACCTAGTCATGAGAAATAAAGTAATTCTTGACAGTAATTTTTCATCGTTAATCTGAAAAGTCTTTGTTACATAAAATGGCTCATTAACCAAAATTCAGCGGACTTCAGAGGCTTCATGCATAGACCACAATCCATGAGTCCTTCATCCATAGAAATGCCATTAACTTTGGTGGCTGCTAATCGTCTGGATTTTTATGATGACTTATTTTCCACTTTAAAACTTGTAAAAAAAAAAAGTCTCTTCAACCTCCTCAGAGAGATCTAATAGGGCACTAACAGCAGTATCTCAAATTGCAGAAACTAATTCCATTCACAGTTGGGCGAATGTTTTCTAAGCGCATCGCAGAATGAGTTTGTCTGATCGTACAAGCCATGTCATATTCTCAGGTGGCACTACCTACTCGTAGGGCCCACACTGTAGAAGGACGAGCCGTGTTAGGACTCACAGGTGCCTTAGGGAGACTGGCTGCAGTCAGCACCGTCCCTGCCTGCCTGCCTCACCCCTGTGCTGGAGGCTAAGCGGGAACAAGGTGTATTCCACCCCTCAGCTGTTCCAGTTTACAATCCAACTTACTGAAGTTGGCAAGGGTGATACTAAATATCAGCTCACAAGCTGGAGCAACTGAGGCATGTCCGTGTGTCTTGCTTTTGTCAGGGCATTAACTTCCAGTGGGGGAGAGGCGAAGGCGGTATCCGTTTCAGCCACAACGGCTACCTCTTCCGTAGAAATGCTAGAGTTCAGTGCCCAAGGGACAGGCTCTATACCAACTTGCTTGCAGAAACTAACTGATGAGCACCATGCGCTTGAAGGCATATGCTCATGTGGAGCTCCTCTCTGGGGTCAGGGTCTGCCTTATTTATCACATTCACTTGTTTGCATTGTTCTTTTATTTGGAAAACTATTTGCATTAGACTGTGACAGGCGCAGTGTCCAGTCATTTGTATTTGGACTAAGTAGTTTGTCTCTCAGTGCAGTGATTTATTTGGTGATGAATTCATTCTGATGTATAGTCAAGATTATTTCCTTCCCTCAAAAGTGTTTCCAATTCAGAAATAAGATTTTAAGAAAACTGGATATATCTAGGCTTTTTTTAATTTGTGTATGTATCTATTACTGCAGCTGAATATTCCTGGCTTTTTCTAACATTTCATAGAAAACTATAGCAATAGAAGGGTGTGGTTTCTTTCTCAACTAGAGTCCTGTTGCTTTTTTAGCAGAAAAAACAGTGAACTTTACATAAATTTTAAAAATGTTTTTACTGAAAGCAGTATCTGGAGGGAGTGATTTGAACTTGTTTCTTTTCTGTTTACTGAATGTTTATTTTTTAGAGTTATGGCATTTCAAGGTTTCAGAGAAATTGAGATTAGTTTTGACTGCATATCAGCCTTTATTATAGTAAAAAGATGGCAAGAATAAGGACTAACGTTAATTATTCTCTGCAGGAAAACTCTTGGAGATCGTTTAAAGCTTGAAGAAAAACTTGGCACACTCAATGTGTCTGATACCACAGTAGGCAGCAAACAGGCAACATTCAAATTAAAGAAGGTGAGCTATATATATAATTTTTTAAGATAATACACAAGTAACTTTAGTTTTTGCATGAAAGAACAGGAACTTTAAAACCGTCAAACAAATGTCCCTCTTCATTTCTTTATAAGCTGCCAACTCTTCTGCTTCTTGCCAAGAGAATGAAAGCCTCCGGTAGTACTCTGTGTGTTTATACCCTTATAACTCAGGCAGTACTCATAAAATCTTGTGTTCTGGTGGAACATACTGGCTTCTATCTTTTAATAGTTTATTTGCAGACATACAATCAGAAGCTTGTGACCTTACCTGACTTCTGTGCCAGGACTGATCAGATTTTGGTCTGCAGGTCCAAATGCTGTAGGTGAAAGGCTGTCTCTTGGTTGATACTGTTGCTAGGTCTCAACATGGAAAAAACAGAGCTCCCAATCACTTTTGTCATTGAACTTGTGTAACACAGATCACAAGAATGAGCTCTGGTCATGTTCTACTTGCCAGATTCCGTTTGGAGCGTGTAGTTGATTTCTGCCTATCTACGTTTCCCAAAGGGTTTTTATTTCCCATCCTAAGGAATTTTGTAGATCGCAGACAGGTGATTACTTTATAGTGTGCGCAGAGTTAAATGCATGTGTGCATCTGCTACTGCTGTAGAACACTTGGGGAGTTTTTGCTAGAAAATCGCTTTAGAGCTGAGGAAAGGACACATTATAAAAGCTGAAGACCCGTATTAATTGATACTTGAACTGACAAAACATACTTCACTTAAAACTGGTTTTCCTCAGGTAAGCCTCTTTGCTATAATACATTTCTCCTTACCAGTGGTCAAATATTATTCTCACCAGTAAAACTGCTGTCACAAGAATGGCTAAGTAATTATTTGATTGTCACATTGGGTATGCCTGAAAAATTTTTTTAAATAACCAAATTTATTGGACTATTTCTACCTTACTTGTTTTACCTGATTATTGTCTGTTTGCAGATGTCCTTTTTAATCTGTTTTTGATTCCTGTATTGCTGGAATTTAAAATGTGTTGACTGTGGAATAAGCCACAGATTCCTCTGCAGTGCTGTGTAGGATAACCTTTCTGGGGATTTTACCAACTGCTGTAACTGATATGTTAGTGTCTTGCAGCTAATTAGATGGGCTTTGCAGGGCTTCAAAAGCACAGTCTTTTTTATAGTAGCTTTAACTTAGAAAGCGCAAAGCCACAAGGTTTCTTGCAGTTAGTGGTGGACAATGAACTGTCACCTTTTGCTAACAGTTTTGTCAAGATTTGGGACTAAGGTGGAAGAAGACAGATACGGCAGTTGTTCAGAATGCATTTTTACTTGATTCCATCAGATATGGTACAGCTTTGAGTTTTTAATTATGTTGCTGCTAACGTATATGGATTTTTTTTTCCTGTTAACTGATGTTGCTTTATTGAAATACATGCATTGTGCTCATTTGCATTAAAAAGACCTTTAAAAGTCTAATTAAAAGAAAAATAATGCATCTGCAGTGGAGACCTTTTCTCCTATCAACAGAATAGCAAAATAAGACTTACAGGTCTTCTCTCAAATAAACAGACCCTGTGTATATATTCTGAAGTCTCAGGGAATGGAGCAGGGAGAGCTAGGAAGAAGTCGTGCTATGGAGTATGCGGTGTCTTGACACTTGTTTTCAGAGGATGGAGAGATGAAGTTGGCAAGCCAAAAAAGGGATTTTAGTGTTACTCTGATGATCAACTTCTGCTTTGTCATGCCCTTTCCTTAAAGTGCAGGTGTATTTGGGAGTAGGTAGAAAGGCTTAGTGGGGGAGAGAATTGTGCTTCCGTGGAATCGGTGTCACTCAACCTTGTAAGTCAGTGGAGTTGAGACTGAACTTGGCTGCTACAGTTGTGGTGTGTTAGCAGCCTCCCAAATGCCTAGCAGCCACTGACAGATCCAGCGATGAAATTGTTTGTCACTGATATTTCACAGTTTAGTTTTCAGGGGACTTTAGTATGGTTCCTACAGTGTGGCACCCTGTTTTTCAATTTCAGCATGCTTTATCATAGCAAACAGATATAACAAAATAGCAGGCTTTCTAAAATACCTAAGTACTTGCACTACTAGGAAGGTATAGAGGACATTTTTAAAAAAAAAACCCCAAAGCTTCAAATGCAAATCAAGATCATTCAATTTCAGAATACTAGCGGTAGCAGTCAACATTGCATTAAGTAAGATTTCTCAAGACCATTTCAGACAAAGTCTGGAGACAGAGAGAAACTACTTACATTTTCACATAGTGGGTTTCCTGTTTCCCTACTTGCAGTTGAAACAGGAGTCAATAAATTTCAACAACATCTAAAGACCACTAGCTTTTGTTACCATCATACTGGTATGGGCTTATTGCTACATTTGGTAAATTGGTTCATATCTCACCTCAGCCAAAATGTTGTCTATGCATGCAAATCTCTAGCTCAAGTTTAAATGGTACTTTAATGGGAGATTCAGGAAGAGATGGGCTGGTGTATGAGTGCTGCTGATTACAGAATTAGATGCAGTGAAGATACAGCTGCATATCCAGTAACTGTCACACTGTTAATGCACTTATCCTGTGCTGCCGTTGAAATTGCTCTAATTGCTGGAGTATTTTATAGCATGGGCTGTTGCCTGAGCTTGGCTAGTTGAAGTCTGCTAGTTCCAGTTTATGCTTAGTTTGAAGACAAGCCTTAGTCTTCCAAAGAAAATAGTATTTTATGGCTGTAAGAGCCATTTCATCTATGTGGTATGTAAATGAAGGCCTTTTGGTGTGTTTTTGATGAAGAGGAAAAACATTAATGGAGCATGTGCCACAGGAGCAGAGACTTTAAATTTTTTTCATGTGGAAAGTCTTTCTAGAATTGCATACAGCGTATCAAACACTTTCAAGAACCTCTAAGTACACTTTTTAGAAAACCTGTATGTTTCAGCAAATTTAATTAATTGTTCTTTTTAAAATGCATTTTGCAGATATTAAATGTGGCGATACTAGTTCACCAAAGTAGATACTAAATAGCCTCAAATTGGGCTTTAGCTTCTTAAGGGCATTAAAACATAAATTCTGGAGTGTAATTTTACAGTTTATTGTTAGACATTGGTTTTCGTCTGAAATACTTTATTTTATTCACTGTTTCTTGATATTTTTGTCTTAATTGTTTGCTCTGAATTACTTGGAGTGATAATGCCTAGGGATACCCAGAATCAACAGGTACAGTATAAGACAAGATAGCATGGGACCGTTTACAAAAACATTTCCAGATTTCCGTAATTGAATTCTGACTTGATATATAGATACTTGAACAATGAGGTGATATGTAAGTTTACAAGAACCTGAGTCTATTTTTGTTTTAAAATTCCAGTCAGAGCAGCAGAAGAAACAGCAAGAAGCTGAGAAACAACATCGTCAAGAGAGGAAAACTCTTAGGCGTTCTGCTAGTCATCTCAAGAGCAAACGTGGAAGAGGACGACTGTTTCGTTGATTTATTTTATGTTTTTTTTAAGTAACTTCTTTTATCTCATTTTTTGTTTGAAAAAGGGACTTTTCCAAATTGGGACACAGTACCAATGTATTTGTATTTTGATTCATTGATGAACACAAAAACCAGAACTTGCTAAACCCTGTGTTAATTATTGAAAAGTTTATGAAAGTAGAAGTATTGACCAAAGGACACTACAAGTATGGTGTGTTATAAACTCCAGCGTGAACTGTATTTGTGCAGAAATCACCAGCAACTGGTTATTGTGTAACCCTGGATGTTTTCTATATAAGAATTTATGTATACAACGAGGCTGCCTGTCTTTTATTTAACTTAAGAGCTGTGGGTTTTTGCTGTCCGAAATCTTTATTTGTGACTGCTTAGATAGAAGATCAAGGGTACGTTATTTTGTCTAAAAACTTGTCTTTACAAGGGCACAACAAATTTTTATGGTTCTTGAAGGATGACACACAATGGTGTTTTTCAAGAACTGACTGGCTTTATATTCTTGGGTTGCCTTAGTAGCCAGGAGGAGGTACAAATGGTTTTCATGAGGGCAATTGAGAATGCCTGATTTAGGTTCCTCTAAGTCACTCTGTAAGGAAACCTCTCTTGCCACACCGATATATAAAGGGGAATCTCGGAAGGATAGTCTTACTGAGTTAAATTTTGTGAATATTGCCTTTACTCAGAATCGTTAGGACCAGGTTTAATATGTTTTGGTAAGCCAGCCATGGTTCAACAGAGATCAAGTGGTATATGGTCACATAACAAGCACATTAAGGCCATGCCAATAGCCTCCTATTCTTCAGAAAGTTAGTTTAGTTAAATAACTTAAGAAACTACAACCTACGTTAAGGAAATGATTGATTCTTTTCTGTGTCGTCTTTTTGATTCCCAGCAGAGTGGTTGTTGCTAACCAGGATGCAGCATCTCTTCTTGATTTTTGTCTTGCAAACCCATCATTTACATAAGTAGTTCACTACTTAAGCAAAGAAATTAATTTTTACCTTTGATCCTAAAGGACCTTTGTTTACTGCTTTTTAAAAGGCTTTATAAATTGTCTTTTTGCTAAATCCAAGAAACTGTGAACTTTGGATCCAACAAGAATCAGTGACTCTCCCCATCACTGTAAGTCCTTTTAAGAGACTTGGAGGTTCTTAAGTGTTTTGCTTTATAGACCAGAGAGGTTGTTAATCTGGTCAGGTCTCCTGGATAGTATTTACCACAGAATTTTTGCAGTTACTTCAGTAAAAACCTTGGTTTCTCATAGCCTGATGTTTTTGTTGTTTTTTTTAACGTGGTAGAATAATCAGTCACATGGTTAAATTTATTTTCTTGTCCCTGATTTAATTTTACCTGTTTTAATTCCTTGCTTCTGTTTTTAATTATATTATTCCCTTTAATATAAAAATATCTTATGCACCTGGTATCTTTAAAACATACATTGTAATCGTCACCTCTCTGTCCTTGCATTCAACTAAAGGATGAATACTTTTTTTTTTTAACCTCTAGCTGTCAAATTTCTGCATTGTCCATAAGCTTCTCATGCTTTCTATTTAACGCAGAACTATCCGGTGTGCCAATGTCCATCTCACCCATGCTGTATATCAAGAAGTAGCATTATTACTTCTCTTCAGCCACTGAGAAAATGTAATGCAGTTGTGGGTTGCTCCAGGGTATGTCTGTGTTTTGGAGTCTTGTCTTTTGATAACGTTGAAGCCTTTGAAATCCAAGTGCAATGACGAGTTAAAGTTTGTACTAGTGCAGCATCTTTCCCCTGGAGTATTGTGTTATCTCTTAGAAATTATCTGCATGCAGTTCAGGTGTGTTCGCTTTGTATACATGGCTATACTGAATGTGGAAAGATTAATGGTGGAAACTTGCCACCATTCTGGTTAATACAGGGAGAATTGGGGATTAGGTGGGTAGAACTGGCACTGTAAGAACAGGAATTTGGAGGAGTTTGCTCCTTCTCATGGTAGGCCTAAATTGCATTATGTTTGATCAAGAGCTAGAGGTGCATTTATGGTTTAAGGCATCCTTATTTCAGCAATGATTTTGTTGGCTGTCAAGAGCAGTAAAAGAAAAAAAAATCTGATTCATACGTGGGATAGTAGTGGACTGGGTTTGAAATGCTTAATTTTCAGCTTAAAAAAAAAAGTGTATTTCTTCTGGACTGAGATTCTCCTGACTGACACTGGTTTAGGTCAGTGTATGTTTTGTTTTTCATGCACTTATGGAGTACCTTATGATAATACTGATCATGTATTCAGGTTAGAGCCTGTATGATTAAAGGAATATACTTTGTACTGTTAGAGAGAAGGCACATGCAAACTGTCCTTAGCACACTGCTTATTTCACATAAAAGATATTTGGGATGCACTTTAAATGGTTTTTAAATATATACTAGGCATAACCAGTGAGATGCCTGGAAAGATAGGATGGTGACTGTGATTTGAATATTATAGGAAGCAAATGTGGAAACTGGAAGATGGGTTTGATGTACTTTTAGTAGCTTATGTTGTGTAGAAGATATTCCACAATAGTCCCTGATGTTTGGGGTTTCCAAAGCACTGCAGGCTTTGCCTGTAAGTGTGCTGTATTTTTGTGTAATGTATATAAACTTTCTATATATATAATCTTGCTAGAATAAGGCTAATTAGAGATAGAAGTGCAAGTAGTAGATACCAGCCATTACAGAGAAGAATCCTAGAAAATTGGAGGTCACAGATAGCATTTGTGAATGAGAACATTAGAGTTGGCTCAAGAATCTGAATATTCATGAACAGCATATGTAACTTGACCAGTTGTGATGTGCCCCTTCAAGGAGGGAGACTGTACTGCGTTGTAAATGCGTCTGCTTGTCTCTGCCCAGGAACACCTGCCTTGTGGACAGTTCTTCATTCAACAGTTTCTTCATTTGTGCACTGGATTGCTGAGGGCTTGCATGAGATCATGGTGGAATTTGGGCATTTGTGTAAGGTGAAGAAGAGGCAAAGCTCTGTGCAGTCTCCATCTTAGCTGTAACTGAATTCGTGCTCTATTGGTGTCATGGTTTAACCTTGGTCGGCAACTGAGCCCCACACAGCCGCTCACTCACAATCCCTCCCCCCCCAGTGGGAT